GGGGGTATGCATTTGTTTCTTTAAAAAAAATGAATCTTTTATTCCTTTTTTTCTTTACATAAGAAAGCGACCTGTGATTTAGGTGTCCTTACTGTCAAAATGCCTAAAATTTCTTCAACGAAATACTCTCTTAGGAAGATTACCTCAAATCCCTTTTGTCTATTATTTTGCTTTGGCTGTTTTCAAACGATGCAATAATTTTGTCTACTCCCTGAATGGTTCTCATTCTCAAGCCTTTTCTGTCGTTCTTTGAAAGTTATAAGAACTGATTTATTTCTTGATTCAATGCCTTATCTTTCACTGATTCTGTACGAAAGAAATAAAATTAAAAATGAATAAAAGGATAAAAGAAAGAAATAGACTGAAGTGAAAAAAGTACTAAAATAATGACCGTAGAATTTTCTAACTGCTAGAATTTACCTCCAACGTCTATCTCTTTAACTAACTCAGTAAATAAATAGTAAAATGGCTGCCATTTCTTCGCATGATCTTACTTCTATTGTCGCTTGAAAAAGTCCTGTACCAGTGCTATTTGTTGCAGCATTGTCTACGACAGATATCGTGGCCATGTTTACTGAATGTACGCTTTCAGGTTTAAGGTAGAGCATTTCATGTTATGTTATAGGTCAGTTAGTTGACAGGAGTTTTTGTTTGCTTGTTGTAGCCAACTTGAACTTGTGCAATTGCTCCTTTTGCAAGCAAAGTAAATAAAAAAAATAAAAACAGCTCTGCTGCTGCTATCTTGACGCTATCAGTCAGTTTTATTATCAGCTGGTACAAAATTTTTACTGGTGCACCTGCACGAAAAACGCTGTGCACTCTTCGGGAGAAGTGGTCCCGTCTACCTACATATGCCGTTAAACGTAGAAAAGACGCATCTTTTTGATTGGCTGCTAATTTTAGTACTGTGATGTCATCACTTCCTGGGATACCCACATGGAACTACGTGTTTTCGGTAACATTTCGGATTTCCTAGATCTAGAACCAGAATCTAGATACTAGATCTAGATATCTAGATCTAGATCTAGAAATCTAGATAGATGTAGTTGATGCTCAGAACAGTAAGATTAAGAACGCTGATGCTTGAGGCTTGAAATTGAAACACGATAAACACAAAGACAATAAACTGCACGAAAATTGCCGTAAAGACGCTGGAGGATTAGATCTAGATCTAAATCTAGATCTAGATCTAGATTTTGCCCCCACCAACCCCCTCTCCTGCATTTTTAATCACTAGATCTAGATCTAGATCTAGATCTAGATGTAATATATTTTTAAAAAGAAAGTGGCTATTCTCACCCGCCCGGGAGTTCTCGCAAGATCAACTCCTCCCCTCTTCTCTCTCTCTCTGTCTCTTTCTGAATACTGTCTATCGGTGTTGACGATCAAATTGACCAAAACAAAGTTAAAAAATGATGTTAAAACACAAAGACAAAAGTAAATAAATTTGGTTGTCTACAAAGATGCTACGGCTATTTAACTTTTCGAATCGAGCCGAACTACGCGGGTCGCCATTTTGTTTTGCCCGGAAATTCTCGCGCTACTCCTCTCTCTCTTTCTCTCTCTCTCCACTGCCCACAGACAAAATTGTACGCTTTTAGTAGGCTACAATTGTAATGGAACGTTTGTTCACGGCACAGAATTCTACAATTTTTCTGTTATCACAGTGTAGAATTCTGTAGTTTAGGGTGAACGCAAAATTTGGTGAACGCGCACCGGGTGAGAATAGCCACAAGACTCGCCTGCACTATTCTCACTCCGGGTGAGAATAGAGGTGGCCTTTTAAAAAACAAAAAAAAACCCTTCAAAGTCAAAGCAGCTTTACAAATTATAATTTATGGGACTGTTGGTCAGTCGGGAGGAGGAGAAGAGAAAAAAACAACTGTCCGGGACCGGGATCGAACTGCTCCAAAAATCATTGCACGACTTCCAACGCAGACGCGCTGTCTATTCAGCCATCAGAACTTCTGAGAGAGAGGTACATTTTTTAAAAAGTATAATATACATAGACACTTCCATCTTTAGTACCATGCGGTTGGCTATACTTAGATGTAGTCACATGATCGGAGGGGTATCCTGGCCTGACGTCAAACAAGATGGGCGCCTTACCTTAAAATAGTTTGCGTCTTTCTACGTTTAATCGCATGTCGTCTAACTCCATAGAGACATTTTTACATTTTATGTAGGCTACACAATCGGAAAAAAACCCGGAAGTTGCCTAGAAACAAAAAGGGGGGTTGCAGGGGCTCTACCCCCTGCTAAATTCACAAAATAATAGTTTGTGGTAGTTTTTAGTGCCAAAATAGTTCTTCAAATGGGTTTGGACCTTTCTACCGCTGGCAACTTAGTCAGTAATTTTACTCGACTTCCGTTTTTATTTCCAATTTTTGTGTATAAATGTTTGTGGTGACCTGACTAATGTTTTTTGGGGGGCTGTCGTTATTTTCACCTGGGGTGAAAATAAAAATATAATATATTGATTTATTCTCATCTAGGGTGAGAGTAATATCCATTTTATTCTCACCCAGGGTGAAAATAATACTAGATCTAGATCTATATTGTTATTCTCACTCCGCAGTCTGAGAAATTATTCTTACCTGTGTGTTGAAAACGGGTAGGCCTAGCAATGTATATATAGTAAATCTAGGCTAATAGGATGATAGAAATTAATTTGTGAAATTTAAGAGTGACCGTTCTTGACCTGCCCCTGAGCGCTGGCAGATATTTTTAGGCTCCTGCGGGGAATGTTATTGTTTCATTTTAACATTTAAAAAAATCTTGACAGATTGGAGTAGCAATTGTCTGTGTATGCGTTTGACACTGGTGTCATGCAAGCTCTTGCAGGCATGAGATCAAAAGTAATTTTGCTTAAAAACAGGCATTGCATGGGGAGTCATTTTGTTAGGATTTTTATACTTAGATATGCATCTCGAAAAGAGCTTACACATAGAAAGCAAAGTTGCTAAAGAATACACATAGGTTTGTTATATAATGTAGTTCTATATGTATAGTTTTCTTATTATTGACATTTGAATATAGAACAATTAGCTATTTTTCATGTTAAGAAAAGGGTAGGGGAATCTCACTGATAATATTATCATGTATATCTCCTTAAAAAGCCAATTTCTTTTTTCTGATGTTATCATGTTTTCCTTAAAAAGCCAATTTCTTTTTTCTGATAATATTATCATGTTATATCTCCTTAAAAAGCCAGTTTCTTTTTTTAATGTTGAAACTTTATTCTTTTAAAGCCTATAAAATGCACAAAAGCACATCTTCGACAGACTGTTAGAATATGATATATATATGCTAAGCCGAGACTGCAAAATTTTTCAGGAATGAGAGAAAATTGTTTCATTTTTTTCACAATTGCACTACATTGTGTACTTTTTCTTGTTTTTTATTTCGACATTTGAAGTCTGAACTTCGACAAAATTCTTTTGTGCATGTTCAACCAATACCACAAATGAAAAAACTGCAATTTACCAAAAGTCAATATATTGGGCTCGTACATTTTAACAGCTGGTCAACGATTTATAAGTTTGAACAGAGAGATCTTAAGATAAACAGGATTTATGTTTAGAGATTAAGCTGGTATGGCCTAAATTGTTATGCCATTTCTTTGTATGTGTGGTGAAATCCTTTTGAAAATGGATTTTTGTCATTATCATGCTGATGTACAGTTCATCTTTCATAATGTTGGCTATATATATATATATATATATATATACTTTGTTCCTTTTGACAGTTATAGTTGCTGATTCATTTTGAGGGGAAATGGTGCCTGAGAACGAAGTCCTCTAGTCTAATAATAAAATAGTAAAAAAGAGACCATTTTTTTTTCATATTTTATAAAATGTATTTTCCTGCATTGCAAAATGAAATAATATAAAGACGTTATGCACAGCTATTATGTGTTGTGGTGGTTTAGAGTTTAGACAAGTAAAAATCAATTTTGAGTTATAAAGTGAGGGTCCATTTCACTTCCCCATTCTGGCTGATAATGACAATGGGTTATTTTTTTATTTTCAGTATTTCAGTGAAGAATGTTATGCCTGCCTATAATGTTGGAGGGACGTTTAATAAGTCTTTACCCTTATGTGAAGGGAATGGTGTACTACAATGAAATTTGTAAAGTTGTGTGATTTTTATCTTTCTATAATGCTGCAACTCATTTTCAATTGTTTTGAGAATACCTGTAGCTGTAAGATGTCCTATATTGATTTGGGAACCAGTAGCCTCATATTTTGTGTTTTTGCTTCACAGGCACTTCTGTGGCATGATCTGTAAACTCTCAGAGTTGATTGCCAAATGAAAGGGACTATACTCTCTGTTAATCAGAAAAGAAGTATGTTTGGGTTTCATTGTGAATGAGGCAAGGAACAGTCAGGGATGAATCAAGTTTAAGTGATCACAAGTAATTTTCAAAAGATTTAACAAAAGAATTATGAGATAATTGTAAGACTTTCAGAATGTCGAATCAAGTTGCAATGGAGGACCTCATTTTGGCGACTTGGTTTGCTAGACTAATGTAATTGGCAGTCCACATGCTATTTGTTGTATATACAAGTGAGGGAAAAAAAAGGTCGAATTTTTGTTAAGATGGCTGATCAGGACATGGTAATGCAAATCAAGCTAGAAATTGACTACAATGATTTCGAGGAGGAAGAGGGTGGGGGCAATACCCAGTACATCACACCTGTGGATGAACGCTATGGACAGGATGTGAAGCCGGTAGCAAAAGGCAATTCTACCGAGGAAGAACCTGGTGTCAGCTTACATAGCTTAAGTGATGAAGTGGCTGGCCATAGTTTCGATATCATGCAGAATATACTTGGTGCTACAGATTGTGTGAAATCAAACTCTGATAGAACAGAGAAATTGACTGAGGGGTCAAGTGATAGTTTGGCTGATGTGGGGGGAGCTAGAGTGGAGTATGGTACCAGTGGGGGCAGCTTGAAGTTCCCAGTCACTTCAGAGTACCAGAGATTTATGGAGGAGTACTCCCGCATCACAAGTGTACATGAAGGAGACACAGAGACAGGATCAGGTAGGCCTTTTTCCTTGTTTGTTTGCTTTTTGCACACCCCTTTACAGGCTTCTTCTATGGTTAAGGAGATCAGTTCGGGCACAGAACAATTTCCCACATTTTGAGAATTTAAAAGCTTCATATCAGTTTAGGATGTAACCACTTTGTGGGCTTCTCTTTTGGCTTCAGCGTCATTTTGTAATTTGTGAAGTCTCATATGACTTGCTGCCCTCTGTGATTGCTGCTCTCCAAATGGGTCTGTCAAGACCTAAGCTCTTCCATGTCAAGGGATTAATGTTGAAGTCCTTCATAGGCATGACAAATAAAAAGACAAAAAGAAAAAGCCTCAAGACAACCTGGCTCTTATTCTGCTGTAAATTTTTTAAAGGACAGTATGCATGCAGTTTTTACAATTTTACATTTTCTTTTAAGGAAATATTAGATAAGGAAATTATTTTTAAAGATTTTGTTCTTAAAAATATTGACTCTGGATGTTTGCCAAGAGTTTGCTTTTTTAGTTAACAGCATTCAGTTTTTTGGCTTTCCTGTAAAATTGTAAAAACTGCATAAATTGTACTTTTAAAAATAAGGGCAGTATTAGTGAATCATTGGGCTCTGTTCACATGATTTGTCAATACTTTTTTGAATTTCTCTTTCATTTCACATTGTCCTGTCAAGGGTTGTGTTGCACCTTTGAATTAACATATTTTTTGTTTTTCTGTCAATTGATACACAGCTAAGCTCCGTTTTATATGCTGTTATGAAGTTTTTTAAATTTCTATTGCATCAGGTAATTCATTTTAAATGCTGTTAGAATTAAATCCCTGTTTTTATTGCATCAGGTATCAACTCTTTGTCCCCCTCGAAAAACTCAGTTTACCCTTTCGGGGCCAGTGAAACAACGGGGAGCTGGGGACTACCAGAACTGACAAGGACCACCTCTGATCTTGGCAGTGACCTGGAGTCCAGTATCTCTCAGCTTAGCCGGTCGTCCATTATAGCTAGTGCTTTGTCCGGCGGTCAGTTCAGGTGTGATGTTTGCTCAGAGGGATTTTCTCTCCTGAGCCAGTTACAAATGCACCGAATGACCCATGCGTCTGGCTCGCTCAACTTTAGTGAGGAGAAACCCGTGGTCAAGGAGAAAAAGTACCAGTGCGACGAGTGTGATTCGAGCTTTGCTGGTCTAGGGAACCTCAAGATACACAAACGAGTGCACACGGGAGAAAAGCCTTATGCTTGTACTGAATGTGACGCAAAGTTTGCTCGCGGGCATGACCTTAACCGACACGCCAAAATACACACCGGGGAGAGGCCGCACATATGTGATATTTGCCATGCGCAGTTCTCAGATACCCGCTATTTGAAACTGCACCTCCGCACTCACTCTGGTGAACGACCGTTTCAGTGCGACGTCTGCCAGCAACGTTTCACACAGGTGAGCAGCCTGAAAGTGCACAAAAGAAAGCACACTGGGGAACGACCATACGAGTGTGAGTTCTGCGGCACGTCCTTCATCCAGTTGCAAGACGTTATCCGACACAGACGGACGCATACTGGAGAGCGGCCTTTCAAGTGCGATGTGTGCGATGCCAGCTTCATCGAAGGGGGACACCTTAAACGCCACAAGCGGCGGCACACGGGCGAGAAACCTTACAAATGTGAGCTCTGCGACAAACGTTTCGCCCATGCCAGCAGCCTCAAGTATCACTACGGCACGCACCCGGCATCTGAGCTCAGCTTGTTAGGCGACGTGGCTGGGATCGGGGGAGCTCGTTCACCGGCTGAGGTCGTCAGGGCCAAAAAGAGAGGGAGGAAAGCTCGTTTGGCAAAAGCTGCTGAGGAGAAAATGGCTGACTCGTGAAGATTGGGAATCTCGATGGTTTAATAACACTACATTTTTTGTTTGTTTTAAAATCAGATAAAATTGCCATCTTTTGACCTTTTCTTGTGGAGTACAGTTAGAGTTGTCTAAGACAGCCACCCATTGTTGTGCAGAAAAGTGGTTGTCTTTGAAAGGTGGAGGTCTTACACAGTGTTGTTGCATTGTAAGAAAAAGATGCAAGGGAGGAAATTGGTAGTGGCTATTTGTATAGGTGATTGTCTTATATATGTGGTAGTTAGAGCAGGTTCAATTATATCGTGTGTTTAGGGTAACATTTTGGCTGGCTCCAATTGTATTCGACTCTGTTTGATGACACTTTGTGTGTACGTTTAGAATTGGTTGGACTAAACAGTGCACACCACAGTGCAGTCTTTGTTTGTCCCCTGCATTTAGTTATAAGTTTTGGTGAGTTGCTGCCCTTTTCATGGGATCTGGTTTGGAAAGAAAATGATATTATAGTATTTATAGACAATGTTTCCCTTGACTTAAAATGAGTTTCTGTCCAGCCTTGACAAAGCAAGTAGTTTGTGTATAATATTTCCCTCTGGGACAATAACGTATCTTATCTAATATTATTAGGGGTCAAAACCATTGTGTAAGAGAGCCATAGAAAAAACCACAAGAAAAGGTCATCGTTATATTTTCGTGCTTGTGGTAAGTAATGCCAGTTTAGCTATTTTTTTGTGATACGATGAGTAAATGGTTCAGAAAATAAGTGTATTTCAACTGTTGTGTCATTTTGAGGTACAGCACATAGATTTATTTTTTGGTGTGGAGATGTTTTTATTTTTCATTTATAATACTGTTTGCGGGCTGTTTTGAAAATATCTACAATTACTCTGTGATTCTTGTGAGATTTTATTTGAGACTTTTTAAAAATGGAAGATATAATTGATAAAAATTGTTGCTTGGGCTGTGTAGAGATTTATATATTCTATTTCTGCTCTTTGTCATGGATATAGTCCAGTATTCAGAATAGGTCTTGTTAGCCTCTGAAAGATGTTACTCCATTTTATTTGTTGCATTGCTTTTAGTATTTTTCCTCACTTATAGTCATAGGTTTTTCTCTCTTTCTTGCCAATGCCTGTTCAATGAAAGCTGCTATTTGTTATCTGATTTAGGGGATTGGAAAAGAATATTATGTTCGTTTATGTTGCTGCTGCTGCTGTTGTTGTTGTTTCGATATTTAGGGATGAGAATTAGTAACGGCTTGTAGTTGTAACCAAGAACATTGAAAAGGAGTGTAGAATATTGTTGCAGGTTGTCATTGTTGTGAGGAAAAAGAGCAGATCCAATGTATTTTACTTTCATTCTAAAGCAAGGTCAAACAAAGTGACTCCTTTTTCTTGAGACAGATGTGATATAGATGTTGACATTATGAGCGTTAACCATGATGTGTGTTCATACCCTGGTTGGAGTCTGACTAGAAGTTTATGGGCTAATGTTTATCGAGACTTTACTCAAAGAGAAGAATCTGGTTCTTTCAATCCCTGTTTGCTGATGTTGTCTCTTGTCTGAAGCAGTCACTTTTGTACTACAAGGAAGCGCTGCCATCAAGGTGCCTCTATAAATAAATCATTGATGGTCGGTCGGAAGCGCTGCCAATTGTCCTGACTGCCTATTTGTACGTCTTATTGGCCATAGCAGAAGACGCAAGTCTTCTTAACCCCTATTTCTTCTATTTCACTAAGAAATGGCATTCTCTGCAGAAGCATTTGTCATTGCCAGACATTAATCAGTGAACTATTATTATTATATTATTAATGTTATTACACCTTTACAATTAGAAGCCAGCTTCTCTTACACATTTAGTGATTTTCTGTAGCTTGTCGACCAAGGTGGGTAATTTTTAACTGATTCAGCCCTCATTGTCACTTACGGCGGTTAACTGTCTACTCTGTTTTGAAGCAGAGCCGCTCAGAGTGGCTCTTCTTATCTATTGCTCCCTTTTTTCACATCACTTTCCTCTTTTCTATTTTCCTTACCACTTATATTTCAACCCGTTTTTACTGGTGTCATTGAAGAGTATTTTTTATTCTAAATATTTCTTAATGCCACACAAAGGATTTTTAACAAATATTAATTGCTTTATTAACTTTTTGTGAGACCACCTGTGAGGTCATAAAGCGGGCATCGGGAGTCAAAATTATTTGCGGGCTGAATCAGATAATGGAGAGATTCAAAGCACTCTAAGGTTACTGCCCATCCATAAAATGTTCAGCCATTGTTCTTTCAGCTGCTTTTTGGAATTTGTGTTGTTATGTTGATGCAGGGAGGAGGGGGGGGG